GCGCGAGGAGCAGTGACGTCACACGGCGCACAGCTGGCGCGCCGGAGCCGCCGCCGCCGCGCCCGCCTCGCCGGTCTGCGCATTCCAGAGGAGTGACGTCATGGCCGCGGCAGACGCACTGGCGCCGCCGCGTGCCCAGCTGTGCGCCTCCGTTGCGCAGTAGCCAAGTCTGACGCTGCACCGGAGCCGCTTGATGGCGCCTCTCATTTTGTGCGCGTAAGCTCACGCTACGTATATCCTGGCATAGCCGAGCTAAGCCACCGCAATTTTTTTTCTTCTTTTTTTTTACAGTGATACAGCCAACATTATTTGGAATAATCAAAGCCCGTGCACTACATGGCCACTGCCTCTTGCTCTGTTCCGTGCACGCGGTTCTTGTTCCGTTCTTATGCACGCTTCAATTGTTCCGTAATTTGTTCTCAGGCGATCTTATCGGCTGATGGCGCAATCTTATTGGCTGTGGAGCGATCATTCGATGCCCGGGACTCGCCATGCAGTTCGACGTCATCGCAGCGAGATCGAGCGCAGACGCGGATTGGACACGAGTGGTGCGTCATCGTTCGGCTGAGCCTCGTGTCCAATCAACGCGTCGAAGGGCGCTCGGCGTCGGGGTCGGACCCAACCGCCGAGTTGGGCGGCATCCGAGTGGGATGACGTTACGTGGAGGTAGAGGAGACTATACGGGTAGAAACTGAGGGAGAGGAGGAGACGAGAGTGCGTGCGGACGTCAGAACGCCGAGCTCTGGTTGGAAGGATTAGTGGGTAGGCACAACGCTACCCGCCCTTCATCACTATACTCACGCTTCAAACGGATTTGAACGCCGGCGTACAGCGTTCGGCGTTCTAACGCGTTCTCAGACTGAGTAGAGACAAAGGCAGCTAGCTTTGAGTCTAACCACCGATCTGCACTAAACTATTAAGGTGAGCTATAGTTTGGATACGCACACTACAAATAAATAGCGCGAAGGTAAAGTACACACTGACAGAACAAGAGGCGCTAACTCACAACTGTCGTTTTAATACTCCTACCAAAGACGGGAAAAAGGTAATGTGTCGTTATCGTCTTGAATTATCCAGGCCCGCAAAAGCTCGAATGTGCTTGTGGGCGGGACACTGTTGCAATGAATAGGATGTAGTTACTCTTACAAAAAACAAAACAATGTAAAGGCCTGCTTTCGCATCCCCCCCTTTATTTTCCCCCCGCCCCCCTCCCAGAAAAAAAAAAAAAAAAAACACGTTATATCACACGTTACGAAACCCAACAAGTTACAAACTTTAAATTTGAAACTTTGAAAATCACAAGATGCAAACACAAAAAACCAGGCACAAAAACATTTTTTTATATAAATTGTTTTAATGGGAAAAGGAAGTTACGTTCAAAGAACAGAGAAATAGGAGAAATAGGACGGATTGGACTTCATTTCGAAAGATTCAAGAGAGGAAGCCATGACCGGGCTTTACTCTCTAACTCCTGATTCTTTTTTTGGTCTTATACATACATCAGCGACTGGCATCTGAGGGATCAGCTGTGACCAGGAATCAGCCGTAGCTCATCCGGGTACGGGTTACTTCCGGTTACTTCCTGACATCGATGCCGCTCAAGCCGGAAACGGGCGCCTAAAGCGCGATCCAAACCAACACTTCTTTTTGCGCCTGTAGGTCGTGCGGCTGCGGATGTGACGCATTTCTTGACGTTTTTGCTGTTTCCGGGCGCGCTTTCTGAGTGAGAACCGTGCGCTTTGGTTTGGACGGGCCAGCTTCGGGCGAGCGCGCACGCGCGCAACAGACTGGCCGGCCAGGCCAGTCTGTCGCAGCCAGAAGGCGGCGAGAGAGAGAGAGAGAGATCGCGTTGTTATGTTGGAAGAGAATAAAAGTGGGGGGAGGAGAGGGCCAATTGTGGATGCGCACCGGGCGCTTTTGTCACTTGCTCTGAGAAGGCGGCGAAGAAACGCGGAGCCGGAACTAGCTTGCCCTCCACCGATTGGCCGGGACACAGGAGCGCCCTACTACGTCACCGCGCGTTTTTGTGCGCGTTGAGAAAGAAGTTGAAATTATCCAACTTTTTTGTGCGCGCCCGGAAGGAGCGAAGAAGTGGCGCGACGTCACGAAAATACGTCACATCCGCAGCCGCATGACTTACAGGCGCAAAAAGAAGCGCTAAAAAATGCGGTGAACCACATTCAACCAAGGGCTGCAAGGGCGAGGCGCCAGTAAAGTGCGCCATCTGCAGTGGAGAGCACCCAGCAGATTACTCAATCTGCAAAGTACGCCTGGCTGCTCTGAAAAAGATGAAGACATTTGTACGGGGACCGCAGTCGAACCCTTCGACCAGAGACGACACTCCCTCCCAGGCATCCTATCCACCTCTTCCCCCTCGTGATCAAGCAAGCCCGACGCCTTCCCAGCAACAGCTACGGAAGAGAAAAAACAAGACGAAGCACACTCCTTCGAACGAGCACACGGCATTACAAAACACGCCTTTAAGCCGGGGTCACACTGCTCATACATCCTACAAAAGACGGTCTGCAAACACAAGTCACCGCAATATCCGTGGTTCGAACGCCGCGTGCCAAGTTTTCTCCTTGAACTTATTGCCATGCGGCATTCGAAGCACGGATCTCGTGGTGTCTCGGACGTTCGAATTTGCTTGCAGACTGTCTTTCGTATGATGTATAAGCAGTGCGACCCCGGCTTTGGTGAGCCACCACCTGCCTCACAGTCGCCAGACACTTCTAAAAACACCTCGATCCAAGTCCGGCAAGCGCACATACAGCGATGCAACCACGCGTGCTTTTCCCGTTCAGGAGCCGCCATTTCCTGCCTTCGGCACGATGTTCCCGTAACTTGGTGTTCTGGCAGCGGCCTGACTGACCCACGTTTACTCCAGTGTGTGTCTTCCCATTCAAAGCTCATTAAAATGGTAATTCTCAACAGCTGTTTTAAGCGCAGTCCTCAAGAAGTCATGATACCACAAGACGGGACAGAGCTTTGGGGCACAAATACAACGACCCAAGACCTCTGGATACCCAGGTACCATCTTGAACGATGCTATAGAAAGAAAGATAAACTCTCACATACAGAAAGAAAAAGCGAAGTGTACAAAGGAAAACGCCCCACTATGATGCCGTACATTCACCGGGTATCACAGATGTTAAAAAAAGGTGGCTTCCAGGTATGACATCCCTGTTGTATTTTCAGCACCAGACAAGCCCACAAGAACGTCACTGTGAATGTGACCAGAGACACAAGCAAACATATATATACCTCGCTGAAGCGAGGTTATATATTAAATGCCTTTCACCTGTGGCAAAGTATACGTGGGTCAGTCAGGCCGTTGCGTGGATACCAGGTTACGGAAACATGCTTTTTCACCTAAATCAACACCAGCGGGGCATCTCGCAGCGCACGTAAGAGACTGTAACTGCAAACCGACACTGACAGAGACAAAGGTCCTTCGCAGGTTCCGTAAGAAGAGATCAAGGAAGCTATGCAAGCCGATGACCATCAAAAAAAAAAAAAAGAAAGAGAGAAGGAAAAGTTTCGTTTTAGTGCACCTCATCAGCGACATTAAGTGACAAAGAACTTCACTACCTTAACTTTCTTACTTGAGGTTGTTCAGTGGTTTACTGCCGGCAACTTCTTCTTACTTTCTGCTGCATCTCAGTTTTTTTTTTTTTTAACGTTATATATTTTTTTTTTATGTTCTTTCTCAGTTCTTCGAACGTAACTTTTTTTTTTTGTTTTGGAAAAGGTTTTTTTATATGCTGAAACGAAAGATGAGAAAGAAACGCTAAATCTTTCTCGTCTTCTAGGTGAGTATTAAAACGACTGTTGTTAGCAAGCGGTGGTTAACCCTTGTTACGTCAGTGTGTACTCGACCTTCGCGCTATTTATTTGTAGTGCCCACTAACCATTCCAAGCAAAGCTCGATGTTCTGACGTCCCCGCATACGCGCTCCCATCTCCTTCTCTCCTCAATTTCAACCCGTATTCACATGCTTTGATTATTCGAAGTATAGACGATTGCAAGCTGGGCGACTGGCCGCCGCCATGTCTCTGCTCGAGCAGGCACGCCCGTGCGATTACGAGCTTGCCAAAGCTACGTTCACCCGCGCCTTGCACGCGCTTGCACGCATGGGGCACCACTTGTGGCGCCATGCTTGCAATTGTCTATAATTGATACAACGGAGTCTGAAACGAATAAATATATACAGCGAATGTCTTGTCATCCCGCTTTACCGCGGCGACAGCGGTGAACAAGCACGTGCAGGGCGTCATCCTCGAAGCGATACAGCACTGGGAAGAGCAGACATGCCTGCGGTTCCGCAGGGCATCTCTCATCAACCTCTGGTACATCAACTTCCGGACGGACAGTCAGGGGTGAGTTGCTTGCGCCATCCATGTTGCAGCTAATTCGCACTACGCGTTACATGCACGTTATGTGCGAAACAAAAATATGCCTTCTTTTTCCTTTTCACTTTTTTTTTCCCACTCTGTCGGCATTGTACGTTAAAACGTGACTCCAACTGGTATGTTTTGTCCCCTTGGGGACTTTCCTTAAAATCATTATGCCAAATTATTCTTACGCGCGTGCATCGGAATTCCTGGAAGATGGTAACAAAACCTGTCGCAGAAGTCGCAGTTAAGTGCTACGCTGGTCGTTCGACGAGTTCCACGTAGTACGTTGTTGTATTCCTTTTCCGGTCCCTCTCTCGTAACACATTCTGAAAAATGGGTAACGCCGATATAACCCCTCCTAAATAAAAAATAAAATAATAAAAACGTCTTCTTTACGTTTTTTCGTTTTGTTTTTGTTTTTCTGGAGATTATTGCGGTAAACAGGTTAAACACGAATGTGGCGTCAGAGTTCGGCTTCTTTCTTACTGGACACGAGTCTCAGCCGAACGCTGACGCGACACTCGTGCCCAATCCGCGCCCCGCGTTTTTTTCTTTAGGTGGCAACACTATGTCGGGTGCATTGTTTCACGGCCACACTCAAAAATGGCGTCGTCTGGTGGGAGGAAAAAGAGGGAGAGAAGGGTTTTCCCTACGGAGAGGAGGAACCGGCCTGTGGAAAAGAGGTCCGCGTAGCTTTTTTTTGATATGCAAGAGCTTTAGTTGCTGGTCAGGTAGTGTTGATCGAGCGAGGGCACATCCACAGGTGCCACATCTCAGTGAGAGCACCAGTCGTTCGGAAGAAATAAACCCCCGGTGCAAGCCCACGAAACACTGCATGCAATCTTCTCCAAGTCCAAGCGCAATATGCGTAAGAAACCGTGCGACTGTATTTGCCTGCAGGTGCTGGTCCCAGGTGGGAATGGAAACGCTAGGAGCTCAGGATCTCAATCTCGGACCCGGATGCGAATTCGTGGGTTCCGTTTGTGCCCTCTCTTTCACGTTGCGTGCAGCTCTCAGAACTCTCCGGATCGGAATCTATACAGAATTCACCTGAATGCAATCATGCACCGTGACTCGTACCGCGACTTCTAACGAGAACGTTACTGGGTGCCGCTATGATCACATGATCGCTTATACGCCAATAACCGGGACAGCTAATGGGATAGCTGACCAGAAGCTATTTTAGCGGATTCTCCGTTAAATCCGACCTATATTACTTCCGTCTTAACGCTTCCGCGTTTCGTTTTTGCGCCTCGCCAAAAAGAAGACAAAAAAAAATCCTACATAAAAAGACAAAAAGGAAAAAAAAGACACGAAGTGTCAAGGAGCAAACGAAAATAAAGTCGGCGGCGGTGACGACCGAGTTACACTGGGCGAAGCGATGTCCGGCGTGTGGTCCAGGATTCATCGATGGAGCACTAAAACGATTGACCATGTTGTATTAACCTGAGACTGGGGTAGAGAACCTGTTTCGCGGGCTGTGGTTTGGAAACCCCTGGTTTCCAAACCACAGCCCACTCTGTCACCAGCTTCGCTCGGCTCGTAACCATTTTGTCCATGTGAGAAGTAAATTTCTGTCGGTGTCAGGTCAAGGACCCCAGTAGATGCCCCGCCTCAAGCGAGAGCTTTATGGCTTGGATACGACTTCGCCGCACGCGCAGTCGATGCTCGACAAAAGGCATCGAGCGCGTGCTGGGGGAGGAGCATCGGCGCTGAGACGTTTCGGTGGCGCCCCCTTTCGGTTTCCGTTCGTGACGTCACTACCAGGATTTGCCTCGCCGTGACTGGCAGGATTCGCTTAGCCGTGAACCGGCGATTGGGCAGGATGATCAGCATGCAAGAAGCTATGGTTGGGCCAATCACGAATGCCGATCACAGGGACGCTTTTGGTGTTGCTGTGATGGACACGTCAGAAGGCCGAGCTTTGATTGGAATGATTAGTGGGTAGATCCATAGAGTTATTATAATGTAAAATAGTTTGTTGTTGGGCGAGTTGGTGAACGTTTGGATACATGGTTTTGCGCAAAAAAGATGGACACAAGAGGTTTGCGCTCGTGTTTCTCTCTTGTGTCCATCTTTTTTGCCCAAAACCATGTATCCAAAAGTTATTATAATGTACGCTGGAGGTTCAATTGGAACTATGCGACTTCCGAGAGGAAAATTGAAGCAGACAGCAGCCAGTTTACTTTTACGGAGCTCCTGTGCATTCCTACGGGAAAACGCGCGCGCATTTTGTCTTTTCGCCCGAAAATAACGTGGAACGTTAATGTTATTTGAGTCGTACCGAATAGTTTGTACCTTTATTAACGTTGTAAAACTGTAACTGCTTTAATTAGCGTTTTTTTTTTCTTCATCAGTGAACGATGTTTAACATCGCTATATTTCAGGCACAAACACATGTGTTCCACAGCAGGTGTGTGAAAACGAGCGACAATTTTAACCAAAATAACAACCGAAAGGAATGTAGAGTGTGTTCATGGTTCGCCAGTATTCCGGTGACGCTTATCAATTTCTAATATGTCAGTCTTGTCACTATGTGAAATTGACACCATCTAGCATGTTTACGAGCGATTAAAAACATTCAAAACGTAAAGAATTAAATATGTGGGCTATGAAAGGTGTCTTTTTGTTGTTTTCTATGCCGGTCAACCTTTATCGGGCACTCTTCTTCAAATATTTCGAGCGTGCGAACGATGTTTTGAACGTAGAACAAGCATCTTCGCACAGAGCAGAAAGACTAAATCAGCACTTATTGTACATAGGACTATATTACGTGGCCTTCAATCTATTTTGATCATACATGCACAGGGAGTTACTGATCTATAGTCCGTTGCAACTCAAGAAGGTAGGGCGAGGGTAAGACGGGCCGGAGAGAAGGAAGCAGCCGGAACGCTAAAGAGAGAAGGAGGTTTCCCCCTCTATTTTCCAGCGTTCCATCTGCTTCCTCCTCCCCGACCCGTCTTACCCTCGCCCTACCTTCTTGAGTTGCAACGAACTATAGTGTAACTGCGTAGTTCTTGCCGTCTCTCTTGGTTTTCCAGATGTCCTTCCTTCGTTTGGCACGTATACCCCCCATACTGAAAAGCGCCGACGTCCTGCTCGCGGTAACAGTGTCGGACAGTGCACATAAATACATGTAAGAAGCCGTTTTCGCGCAATTTTTAACGCAATTAATTAAAAAAAAAAACAACGCCGAATCAATTATTTTGTTTGCCTGACCGACAAATGTTCCAAGCTTTTGGGGATATTTGCTTTTATAATCGAGTGCAGGGAGAAAATACACTCACTTTTTCCCATTGAAATGCTTTACCGGAAGTCACTTTTCGACTGGTTGCTGTCGGCTTCCTATGCAACAGCACACTAACGCTAGTTGAAGCGTAGGCGTAAATTATAGTAGCTCTATGGGTAGACCTAAATCTAGCTCCCCTTGCCTCCACTGCACTCGTCGAACGCGTTAGAAAAACACTGCAATAAAAAAAAAAAATCTAAAAGGCCTAATGGGACAGATATATTAAAAAAACAGTTTGCCACGAAAAAGATTTTTTTTTTTTTTGAGCCATATTTACGCCGCTAGACGCAATCTAGGTACAGAACCGTCCAGTGCTTACAAGGTGCTTGCTTACATATCTCATTGACTGGAGAGATGGTTGACGTGTGAAAGCTTAAGTGGTTGTAAATTTGTACTGCCGTGCCGTAATAGTATTTTAATCGACATTTTTTTTATGTTTGAGAGCAAATAATCAAGATAGAGTCAATGCTGTTTTCAAATGTTTTATAATATTGCTACTCCCGCTTTTGTTTAAAGCGTTAACAAAGTGGCTCTTGCATAATGGAACGCTAGAAAGCCGCTTTCATGGCCGCGTCTTCTGAGCGTTGCAGAAGTTTTTAGACGGCGTATGAATAGCAAACGGACGGAGATGAAAATGGACGCCGACGCGCAGCTTTCGTGTCCGAGTCTCACGGGCATTGCAGACGACGATAGACGGTGGGGAAATAGCAGACGATGCCGGAGGCTGCCGCGCCTCTGCTCGCACGACCAGCAGGCGGTGTTAGACTTCCAGACTAGGCGCACCAGATGTCGCGAAAACGGCGACACTACGCTTGTTAGCGTGTTCGGTCGAGCAACCAAGCCAGTGCAGTAGTAATGGCCACTGATTTCTTGGATTTGAAGAGCGGGCCGTGACCTCCACCTAAATTGCGTCTAACAACGTAAATATTGAGCGAACTTTTCTTTTCGTGGCATAGTTATTTAAAAAAAGAATGCGTGTCTCAAATAGTTGTTGTTGTTTTATTGCAGTGTCTTTTTAAAGGGATGGTGAACCGAAATTTGAATTTCAGAAAAAACAATGCAGAAGGTGTAGGCGGGACGCTACAATCCCTACAACACTACTCGTAAGGCGATATCTCGAATGGACAGCCCTATTTTTGGAAAGAGAGTTCGAGATTGAACGAGGCCGACGAGGCGCGTGACCGTGAAGATACCTAGTTTCCTCCTCTCTTCGCTTCGCTCCCTCAAAGCAGCGAGGCGGAGAAGACGCGAGGTTGTTCCCGGAAAAACATGACGTGAATATTTCTGTCAAATGCGCCTCCTTTTCTAGAAGAATACGGCCATCCGTTTGAGATATTGCTGTATGAGTGATGTTTTGGTGTTTGTAGTATCCCGTTGCACGCTTTTGCCGCGTGTTTTGTGGAATCCAGATTTCGGTTCAGCATCCCTTTGAAGGGATACTATAATGAAATTTCGACGCTTATTTCTTGGCCTATTCGTGTTCAAGTGAGCATTATCACATCAGACACACCAATCTCTTGTTGAAAAAGACACGAAAAGGAATTTTAAAAGGAGTTAAATGACTAGCAAAGAGCACCCGGTGGATATCGCTAACGCCTCCTTTGTAACGCCCGTTTAGGAGCCTTGACAGGTAGTGACGGTAACTGTCTCGCCTCCGGCCACGACGAGAGAAGAGCTGAAGGAGGAACTCCCCTCTCCCCGAGTCTCTCTTTTTGTGTGTCCCAGAGGTCGCTATTGTCCCTCTAGAAGATTAAAGAAGATTTACCCGTCACTCAAACTTCGTACAAAGGCAGCTTTGGGGTTACTTGTGGTGGCCCGATCGCTGGTGTGCTTCAGCTGCTTTCAGCGGATGCTACGAGCCATCGGGGCCTATCCAAGGCCGTGTGAACGTCACGTGACCTCAGAGAGGGAGCACAGCAACGCGCGGAAAGCGTATCACGGGCTACGTTTACAGAGCGGGATTGGCTGGGATAGTTCGCTGCGTCCGGACGCAAGGTCCCGAGACAAACTACGTCACGATTGCGGCGGACGTGACGTGCTCTCCGCTGGCTGCTCTCCGAGCTTTTGCCAGAGTTTGCCGTTTATAACGAAAAATACAGCCTTCAGGCTCAAAATACAAACGTGCGATTGTCATTTACGAATATTGTGGATCCTTTTCAGCCTATTTGTGAACACGACGGGTATGTTTCAAATTTCATTGAAGTATCCCTTTAAGGCCCAACCACATGGGGCGTTTTTTTACGTGCTTTGTCCGCGGCAGCGTCACATCGCGTCGGCCAGACGTCGGCGTCGGTCCGCGCATCGCATTGTCGTGGGTGACCTCGAGCTATGCGCGCCGACGCTGACGCCGGCCGAGGCGAGTGAAAAAAACGCCCCATGTGGTTGAGGCTTTATGGTACGTTTACACCTGAGAAGAAATTCGCTGCCGCGGGAGCGGATCCGCTCCCGGCGGCGGCGGCGACGAGCGGGTTGCGTTTACATCTATTTCCTTCGAGCGGCGGCGGCGGCGCCGGCTGCGGCCGGCTGTTCTCGTAACGTCCCGTCAAATATGACGAGGAGGCGCGAGAGTTCCCACCTCGACTGTTTTCCGGCCAATCCCGGGCGTTGCAGCACCCGGAAGAACGACTACTCATGACGTAGACAGCGTCGCGCTGAGCAAGAATGTCACATCCGGTCAGCGAAACGCCTCGTTCGGCGGCAGAAATAGATGCCGGACCTAAACAGCTCGCCGCCGCGTTTTCCGCCCAGCGTTTCACCCCAGCGGCAAAAGCTGGGCGGATTCGCTGGCGGATCCGCAAGTGTAAACGTACCATTTGAACGGCGAATGCCGGCGTCAGGCGTAGGGCTATCGCCTTCGAAGGCGTTTGACGAGTGCAGTGGAGGGATACAAAGGCAGTTAGCTTTAGGTCTACCCACTAATCATTCCAATCAGAACTCGGCGTTCTGTCTGACGTCTCCTCCTCTTTCTCGACGCACAAAGCGCCGACTGCATGCCGGTGCAGGTAGTAGGAAGCAAATGGTGGCGGACAGCAACAGGAGAAGCTGAAAGACGCCATTTTGTTTCCGCAAATCGTGCTTCGACATGCATGTTGGTTGCCGTCGCGCGTAAAAGAAGGTTATCAGGGGTCTTTAGTGAATAACACCGCCCCAACGCCGGCCATCTGTGAATCTAGCTTTGCCAATTATCGGCGTCGTTCTGTCGCGCAGACGCAGGTGGTGATCCACGAACTGGGCCACGCGGTGGGCTTCTTCCACGAGCAGTCCCGCTCGGACCGGGACTCGAGCGTCCTCATCCTCTGGGAGAACGTCCCGAGAGACACGTACAGCCAGTTCACGCACACCTACGACATCAACTACGACGTCCCGTACGACGTCACCTCCGTCATGCAGTACTCGCAGAGTGCAAGTCACCTCTCGCTATTTTATTTTTATCGTATTGTTAATGCACTGTGAATCGCGATTGATGCTGCCTCATCCAGATCATATAGGATAGCGCTCGATTTGATTTCTGGGAGCAAAGGATCTAAGACTTCAAATGGTCGTTTGCAGTCGTGTGGTCGAAAGGATAGACAGAGATGTCTTCGCTAAACCGAAGGACTAAAAAATTGCGGATTGCTATGGCAACGGGGCAGTTGCAAACGGCTTAAAACCCTGTCACCATAGCAACCGCACAACGGCACAATAATACAAAAAGAAAAGATGCCACGCAGATATTTTGGGTGATAATGATCTGTCGGGCATAAAGAGTGAGCATTGGCTGGTGGGTGCTGCAGATGTCGTGAACAGGCGTTTGCGTTGCCTCTGGTGAAGCAGATAGATCTTGACTCTTGAGTACGTGGCTGCCTGAGTGAAAACCATGGCGGGTTTCAGAACTCAGCGACCATCGGCACATTGCTGAACTCGCCTGTTTCTAAAAACGAACATCGCCTGTCTCTTCATCCGTGGAGTTTGTTCACCAGTTTGCCTGCGCTTTTTCACTTTCATCGTCTGTCTCTTCGCCCGTTCATGTCCTGTCTTCGGCAAGAAAACCGTACAACCTTTTTTATTATTATTATTATTAGCAGTGCGACAAAGCAAGAACCGTCTTTATGATATATCTGGTTCTTTCCGTGATGAGTTTGCGGAATTACATTGCTTTGTGTTGACGAGCACCATTGATGTCGGCCGTGTTCATCCACTCTGAAAAAAAAAAAGGTGTACTCCCTTTTGTCCCATATAATACACCCCAAAATTTCAGTTTGACGTATAACGCACTAACGATACTGACGGCCCCAATTTTTACGAAAGTATGATTTATTAAACAGCTAAAATACGTATAAAAAACAGAAAAAACACGTTTTTTTTTTTTACAAAAAAATTTTTTTTTTTTTTTTTAGTTACTAACGCGTACATTAGTTATTTAAAGAAGTTGTACCACTCGGCTATCAAGCCGCTCGTGAAAGTTGATACCGTCGGTTCGAAGTCAGTGCGCTGTACGTTTTGGGATGTATTATATGATATACCTTTTTTTTTTTTTTTTTTCTGAGAGTGTGCCATGCTCTATATTGGCGCTCAACGTGGGGACCGGAATGACCAGTATCGGTTTCGATGGTTCCCTTTGATGAACATCCTCCTCAACACCTTCGCCATCTTTCCCTGTCAATTCGGAGAACCGAGAGTCTATCTGCTTTAGAGATGAACACGTTCTCAGTGATATGATTCTTCGTAAAGCATGGTTCTTCTGGACGCTCGAGTACAAGAAGTACGGGAAAGACCCAAAGATCAGATACGCCACCGTTGCACGGACCGAAATCGCCCGTGACCAGGGTGCCGATCCTCGCAGGCGTTCAGCCCGGACCCGTACGAGAAGAACACCATCGTGACGCTGGACCCGCACATGCAGCTCCGGATGGGCAACAAGCAGCTCAGCTTCCGGGACCGCAAGCTGGCCAACCTGATGTACACCTGCTCCGGTACAGGGTCCAGTATACTACGCGCTCTAGCTGTTTCATTAACATGGCCAACTTTTCCAGCCACAGTGCGATAGGCCAATACCATGCATAGAAGGCAAGGCCTGCAACGAGCGAATATTACCTCTGGGAGGTAATATTTACCTCTTTGGTGCCCCTTCGAGGCGAACTTCACCTTGTAGCACCGCATTCCTAGTGTCCGCTGCGCCTGAGGAGGTAACAAGCGGAGCGCTTCCCCCCTGGCCGGGAGGAGGGTGGTAAAGGTGGTCTGTTACCTCCTTTTGGTCCCCTTTTTTCTAAGAGTGTATGCACGCGGCGACGCCGAGACGGATGCCTCTACTGCTTTGCGGCTACTCTCGTCGAGCTTTAGCGTGTTTGCTGCTTGGGGCGGGTCGGTGAGCCACTTACGATGACGTCATTCGCAGGACTTGTCTTCTACGTGGTATTGGATAGGCCTGGCGCGGACGGCATCGTTGCCTCGTCGCTGTCCTGTGCATTTCGGCGGTCGTTCTCTCTCTCTATATATATATATAAATATATTTTGTTTTCTTTTTTTAATCAGGCAGTGCGTTGTAAATGACGCGTGCAAAACACACAAACACCCAGCAATGAACGCGCCCTCATACGCTTTTATGGAAAGGTGTTACGCGATACTTCGTCGGAGCATTTGCCCGTGCATCCTATTGTTGTCGGATATATCGTTATCGGACGGCAATGGTGTTAATCAAGTAACGCAGCAATTTCTAAGCACGTGTGCGTGTTTCAAACTACAGCCTCGAAAAAATTAAACGTATAAAGTGCATCCAACTTTTTTCCTTCGCGAAACACGTAATATTCAAAACTCGTATTTTTGCAAAGAAACGAAAGCGATGGCGGTAACGTGGTCGCGCAATGCGGGTGGAATAGTTCCGTCAGGTATATCTGAGGATGGAGGTGCGATGTGGGGGGCGGATTTAGAGGAGGGGGGGGGGGGGGGTCCGGATGTCCTGACCCCCCCTCTTGATTTCTGCAAGTGTAAAATTTAGGGCGTAAAACGAAGGAGAGGGGGAGGGGGTTCCTAAGCATATGGTACGCTGACCAGCACCTGCCCCCCCTCCCCCCCCCCCCCCTCAGGAAATTCCTGCATCCGCCCCTGGATGTGGTTAATTCTCATAGACGTCGTGGTTGTCGTCGTGGATGCCACAGACGACCACAACGAGTGCTCGGCGATGCGTGAAGTGGGTGAGCGCGGTGGAAGTTTCTAAAACCATCCCACATTATGCGTAGCGACTGGGTATACTGCCAAAGCGGGATTTCGTGTAACGCGAGTACTTTTTGAAAACAAGTGTTTGAAGCAGACGACAGGAAGGCTGTCCCTTCGTCGCGTCGTTACTGCCGGGATGCGGGGGCTCCCCTCTTTTCTCCCTCCGCGCCGCGCGGCCGACGGGAAAACCCGACTTCGCTCCCCTCACGCCAAGAGGGAAGAAAAGAAGGGTCTTTTATAGCGGAGACGACAGCCCCCGAGCTCGAAATCTGTGCAAAGTGTCGCCCGTTCAAGCTATCGCTTTAAAAAAGTTACAAGCGATTTTCGGTTCGACCTTAATGAGAAAATAAAGGCCAGCGAAGCCCACGAATACAACGGAACGAACGGTGTCAGCTTCTAAAAACGGACGCCGTCTTCTCATCGTAATTTTCAAAGGTAACCTGTATACCTTTGGAACCTGAAATCTGACGCAAGCACTTCAAAAGGAATGTAGACCAAAGGAGCGAACCAGGTTATGCATGCCCCAAGTGAAACGTGCAGGGTCAGGACTTGGGATCGCGAGTTGAGTGATCCCTCGGCGCTGCAGTTTTCGCCAGGGTCGTTCACGTCCGTTGCCTATCGTTACCTATCTATGGGGTAACGTTGCCCGATAGTTAATCGATGGCTAACGTTACCCAATGGGTAATGTTATCGCAGACTCGTGCCCCAACATTGTAGACCTGAAGTGCGAGAACGAGGGCTTCCTGTTCAAAGCCGCCACGGCCCCGGCAAGCGAGCCTTGCACGTGCGTCTGTCCTCACAACAGCCAGGGGGAACGCTGCGAAGATCTCACTGAGAGCTACTACGGTAAGCCGACCAGGATTAGGGCAGAATCAGTCTTTTCAGTACCAGGAGCAGGCACGGAATACCACCATCTACAGCAACATAAATTAACATGCACGATGTTTTCTTTTTGTATTTTATATAGATGAGTTGTGTCCAGAGGCTGCCCGTTGACGCTGTGAGCGTCAACGTACAAGAATATGTTGATCATTGTTACCAGTGACCATCACCGACTTGTTATGCCTAATTCACTTGGTCCGATTCTGCTTGCGATTTTCAGTATCGACGTCTACCATCTCAGCTACGGTTTACGCTTTTGCAGCCCGAGCGGCGTCGCGACTGAAAATTGCGAGCGAAATCTCATCAAGCGACTCAAGCACTAGCGTACATACTGCGGCGTCCACGCGGAATGAATCGCCACATGTCACATTATTCACGCGAAGTTTTGCGGTGTAACGAGCCTCGGTAATTTCGCTGACGCCGCTCAAGGAGTCAGACATCGCCAGGAAGACGTAGACTCAACAATTTGAACGCGAAAAAAGGCAGGGGGACTCACACCGACGCCAACAACATCGCATTTCAATGGTTTGTTTATGGGCGACGGCGAGCTTCTTGCCCATACCCCCATCGCGAATGCGCGGCGCCAATGGCGTCCGCTAGGGGCGCTTCGGTTTGTTTGTAAACATGAGTTGGTGTATAGACCCTTTCAGGCAACATTTCATGGGCGCCGCCATCTTGGCGTCACGTGACCGTGCCGCCATAGCCGCCCTTCAGTTTCTCGCCGTTCCTCCGCGTTGTGTGCTGCACCGGGCCCTACCGGAGCTTTGTTTTCACGTTCTTTTACGTTCCGCGTTGAAATCGCGTGTTTTCTTTAGGTCTTTTCGATATTTCGGGCTTTCATTTAATTATTTGATATCTATATTTCAACATATCTCTTGTATTTTCTTATTTATGAAATGGAATCGGACAGCGAACGGATCGACGATACACGATTATGGCTTCAGAGACCATGTAAGTTCATCCCATTCTAACATTTTTCTCGCTAATAAAGGCAGTCAACACCATTGCGACATATGCAAATTTCAACTGACGCAGTAAGGCTATCCAGTCGTGCTTCTCGCTGCATGTGCGCGCTTGTTTCCGTAAAGCCGACCCGCATGTAAGCGATTTAGCGTGCGACGACACAGCGACGGCGACAACGACGAGAGTCAGCGACGAAGATTTCTCACTGCCGCCTGTTGCATCGCTCGGTTTTTTGGGTTTTTAGAAAACGTCGCTCACCGTCTTGGTCGCTTGCTCCCGTCGCTTCCATGCGGTTTGCCTCGTCGCGCGACTGCCCGAGCGACAGCGAAGGGGGTCACCGTCGCTTGTCTCGTTGCTCGCCGAATCGCTTGCACGCGGTTTTTACTTAATATCGAGGCGCTAATGGTTCATTGCTGTGCGCATGGAAATTAATTGAGTATAAACCGCATGTAAGCGATTTGGCGAGCGACCAGATAAGCGACGGCGACCCGCTTCGCTGTCGCTCAGTCAGCGCGCGACGAGGCAAACCGCATGGAAGTGACGGAGCAAGCGACCAAGACGGTGAGCGACGTTTTCTAAAAACCCCAAAAAACGAGCGATGCGACAAACGACAGTATTTGTAAAAAAAAAAAAAAAAAAAAAAATCTCCGTCGCTTGTTTCCTCGCACGCTGAATGACCGACATGCTTTACGGAAACGAGCGCGCACATGCATGCGAGAAGCACGACTGCGATAGCCTTACTGCGTCAGTTGCAATTTACATATGTCGCAATAGTGTTGACTGCCTTTATTAGCGAGAAAAACGTTAGAATGGGATGAACTTACATGGTCATTGAAGCCTCATAAGTATCGTCGACCCATTCGCTGTCCGATTCCATTCCATAAATAAGAAAATACAAGAGCTATGTCGAAATATAAATATCAAATGATTAAATGAAAGTTCTAAATGGCGAAAAGACCCAAAGAAAGTGCAAGATTTCAACGCGGAACGTAAATGAACACGAAAACGAAGCTCCGGTAGTGGCCTGTGCAGCACACAACGCGGAGCAACGGCGAGGAACTGAAGGTCGGCTATGGCGGCCCGGAAAGCGCGCGAAGGGCGCGCCGACTGGTGGCAGCTCGAGTAACTGACTCGCTGAAAGCGTCTATAGCCCCGCACGTGCACTCTTTGGAAAACGAACCACATGCGAGTACTCATTGATCCTACAGAAATCGCAATTATGCTTTAAACAAATCTATAGTTTAACCAAGAAAAAAAAAGCGATTAAGTTTAGGGCGTAGTGTGATGAATTCACCGGCGACAAATGTCACTCCACAGGCGTCCCATCGTGCGGCGGTAACATCACGAGCGAGGGGACCTTCGAGACCCCCGGCTTCCCCAACAGGGACGTGAACTACGAGAGCTGCACCTGGTGGATACAGGTACGATATCCTTCCGAGAGCCTAGATTGAACATAGGGTCCGTATCACACTACGGGGAGCGCAAAATTGGTCGCAAGTGCGCGTGCGCTGCGTTTTCGCGTGTCGAGGAGGAAAGCAGGCGGAAAGGTGGAGGCGTTCGCAGACGATCAACGCGCGTTTGTCACCACCTCGCAGCTCGCGCTACAAACGCGGCTCATAAACGACTTGACCTCGATCGAGCTGGTGGGATAATCCTAGTCGTGACGTCACAGATAGGAACCATAAGATGGAGCCACCAAAACATATGTACCACTTGGCCAATACTCCGCCAATTTTTAAAGGTTTAACAGGTTTAACAGGTTAAAGAAACACTAATGCCCCCATTTTTTGTTTTGTTTAAAACGATGCAAATTGTAGTCAAAGACACAAAAAAAAAAACCACAGCGCAAAAAAAAAAAAAATATATGTACATATATAAATTTTCCAGGCGGGCGCGAGCCTTCTTATTTTTGGCGCTTTTCTCTCTCCCTGGCTGCGTACATCCAGTCCTCTCTGGAGTACGCCACCAGAGGGGGCCTGGACTGAGGCCCCCTGCTCATATTCTTCGGGCCTAATAAAGTTTCATCGCTCTCTCTCTCTCCCTCCCTCTTCTCACCTCCTCGCTTCTTTTCATTAGTGACGTAAATGATTATGAAATTTATAAGCTTTGTAAGCGACATTTCTTTAATGTTTCATAATGGCACTCGTGAAACATGCTTCTTAACACAATTGCGAACGCACTACGGCCATTCGTTTTGAAATACCGTAAATTGGAGTCCGCATTGATGTCGACTCTTGGCTTTTTATCCTCCCTCGGAAACCATGCCGGCGTTAACACATGCAGTGAGGATGACCGGTAAGGTCGGGGGATCCGACGAAGCTCTCCCTTTTTGGGCACCCGACGACATCTTAGACTTCGAAAAGGAAATCGTCAAACTGTCAAAAGAACTGGGTTTGGTGTCTGTGTACCGTAGTTTCGGTTGTGACTCCGCCGGGGCAGCCTTTCATTCAGAACCGGCGCAACGTGGCTTCTCACGTCGTTCACAAAAGTTCGCTGCGCGTTCTCTTCTACCTCACACAGTTTCAATGAATTTTAGATCGCTGAAAGGGCCCTAAAAGGACTTCAAACTCGAAAGTGAAGTGTCGTCTGCTCACAGCGATAGGCGGCAGGCACGGAGAGGGGCGGTTGATCGCGGGGCGCTTGCGAACACGACCCTTCGGGTGGGTACGTTTCGGGAGGCGCAAGAGAAACTCGAGTTGCAGGACGACTCAATCTTTGACGTCACTGCACTTGCGCGGATCGCGCGGAAACTTCAAATTCGGCTTTGGGAATTTTTTTTTTTTTTTACTTTATAAATACTGAGTTTTCAAGTTTCGAATTTTGAGGGTTAATGTCCAGGCATCGTTTTCAATCGTTTCAAATAATAATTTAAAAAAAAAAAGATTTTGTCCTGCCAGTGCCCCTTTCAGGGTTCAGGGAAAACTTCTCACCCCCTTTCCACTTTAGCAGAGCGAAGCAGCGAACGTGTCGCTTCATCTCCAGTGTTCGTTCTGCTAAAGTGGAAAGGGGTCGAGGAGCTTCCACTGAACTCGCACCCCCCCCCCCCCCTTCTACACACACACACACAAACGCACACTACTGTACACACACTCCACACGGCGCAATGCCATTGATCACGCGCGCTATGACGTCAAACCAATAGCTGCGCCCCGTTGTTACTGACCCTCTCTTCTCCCACAGCTTTGCTACGATGCAACCAACATAAACACGAGCGGGCAAGATCCCTGCAGGTTTCCGAATAAGGGGGAAAGGGGGGGGGGGGGGGGGGGGGCTTTGTATGGTACTTTACGGTATATGCTTAATAAAATAAAAATGCAACAAAAAAGTGCAAAGAATATAGAACGCTCGATCCTCGCAGGCTCCCGAAGGCCAAGTGGCACAACTGACGTTCGACGAGTTCAGCTTCGCGTCCAGGCTGGACGCACCATCCAACAAATACGACGGAAAATGCGTCTACGAGAGAGTCGAGGTCCGGCTGCGAGACCGCTACCGCGGAGAAATGTGAGTCTTACAAGAGAACAGCCGCGGAAGATCGTCCCCGAAATGTTGTTATCCCGGTTTGAGGATGCAGCGAATTATAATCATTGACGGTGCGAGTCCGGCAGGAAGGTCTTTCAGAAGCGTCGGAGGCCTCCAGCGCGAGATTTATAACACTTCGGCGTCTCGTCAGCTTCGATTCAAGCGTGCACGCGCAGCCAGAGCATGATGGAAGGCAACGAGCGCCTACTTAAGGCAGGGGAAAAAAATCAACATTACACCATTAACTTTGCATGAAGGAAGGAAGGAACAGAAAGACGGAAAAGTTACCTGGGTACTCGTATCGGTTGGCTTATCACTCAAAGGATACCATTTCAGTGGAACAGACGTTAGGCGATTTCATACTAGAAACCCAAGATTAAATACACTCAACAATATTTTCCACCTCTTCGTACATTTTTCTTCCTTTTATTTTCTAAGCACGTCCGTGGATCAATAAGCATCAATAACAAAGGACGCAGCCCGCTCGAGAAGCAGTGGAGCATACTCCACTGCTTCTCGAGCGGACTTGAGACTCACGTGATATCGCATGTGATATCACCTCAGTCTCAAAGGAAGCAGTAGCAAGGCGAACTAGAGCTCTGCACGGGCCAACCCGAAAGGCCGGGCCCTGTCCGATGGTCGTACCGGGCTGGGTCGGGCCGGATAGTAGGCATTGTTCTCGTGCCCGAGACGTGCTTTATTTCCCACTGTCGAGGCACCTTCAGCCGGGCCGGGCTCGGGACGGGCCAGATCAGGTAGGCATCCCATCGGGCTGAGCCCGGGTCGGGTAAGTCACCAGGCCCGGTTCGATCGAGTCGGGTTTTAAACGGTAGGCCCGTGCAGTGCTATGAGGCGAACATGAGAGGGTGCGGACTTCATTCCCCTCGCAAACGATATGCCTCGAATGAGCTATTTTCCGACGAGATGAAGGAAAAACCAATTTGCTATTGAGAAAGCAGGCTGCACGAACAAAAAGGTACTTTGTCTCACGAGTCACAGGTGACGTCGGTGGCGTTTCTTTTGCGAGTGCTGATAATAAAAACACCGGCTAGGTGGCGCACGCTGCCTGTCGGATTAAAAGGGTTAAGCCGTTCAGCCCAGAGCCGTGTATAGAGAGAGTTTGGTCAACGGGAGGCGCGGGCAGAGCCAGGGCGTGCACCAAACGCAGAAAGTGGGCTTGACGTGTTCTCTGGGCCAACCAGAAGCTCCAAAAAAACCCTAGCGGTGGTACCGAGAAACTGTTTTCATCAAAGGCATACGTTGGTATATGGTTTTAATAAGCGCGTAAGAGCAAAATGTAGTAACTCTTCATGGTTGAAAATAGGGTGCACATGATGTTCCGATCATGATAATGCAGAAAGCTGTAAGAAACGAATGTGCCGCTCAACTCTGTTTTGCTCGGACAGAGTGTGACCGCTGGACGGCAGATTCCCAGCCCTTGGCGCTTGGCGTACGGATTATGCCGATCGGTCCGCTAGTCGCGCTCTTCCACCATGATTTTGGATGACCATGATTGAACATCACTTGCACCATATTTTCAGTCACCGAGAGTTACTCCGACGCACATATTAAGTTTGTTTCTCACGACCACCGCCAGGGTATTATTTCCGGCTTCTGATTGGCCACATTTGAATTTGTGAAGACGCCCTGGAACACGCCCAGCCCGCTTTCGGTTAATGGCGCCTCCTCATTTGTCTCCTATACTTCCGAAAGAATGGCCAAACTCTACATATACGGCTCTGGTTCAGCCTAAGCCGTTTTGGTGTGTTTATGTTTGTCTAGGTACCGTTAGTAGCGTCAAATCCGCCAAAGCACGTCCACCGTGCCTTGTGCTACCCTTAATTGTGAGCCAATGGGGGTGAAGCAGTGAAATGAACGGCACTATTAAAAGCGATTGGCGACGACGCAGTCGCTCTTGGCACGTGGTTTTCGCGTTCGCACAATGACTGTCGGCACTTGTGAAAAACGCGAAGCATGAATTTAATCGAGGAGCTTTAGTTCAGTCTAAAGTCACTGGCTAGGATTCAGCGACTTTATCTCAGCCTAGTTCAGCCACATTAATTTATCCATCCATCCATCCCCCTCTCCCCTCCTCCTCCTCCTCCTCCTCCTCCCCCCCCCCCCCCCCGAAAGTGATGTGACGAAATTCCAACGAGTGCAGGTACTGCGGCACCGACATCAAGCCAGGACAGCAGATGAGCTCGAGGACATCGGACGCCGTGATCATTGTGAGCCGCAAGCGGAGCGTGGAGGGCAAGGGACTCAGGGCGACGGTTCATTTCGTGCACAAAAACGGTGAGCAGATTCCCGGAAAAGGAAAAATTTCTTCCCCGAATTCACTTTTATAGCGAACGTTTAGTGGTCTCATTTTTGCGTCAAAACAGGTCACTTCATTCACAACTCCAACACTCTTTTCTCTGTTTCTCATTCTGGCCGCCAGACTGTGCCGTGGTCGCATCAAATCAAAATCTGCAGAACGGCGAAATGTGATTGCAAATCTCCGGTCTGCAGTTTTCATCACCCCACCACTGTGGCCAAGTTAGCAAGCTTCTTACGAAGCTTGACACTGAAACAAATTGACCGTGCTTACACCGCGATGAAGAGCTTTTTGCCTCAGTGACGTTCCGTGCCTCCCGTGCGAGCCATTTCTATAACCACGTACAATTGGTTCGAACTAACTACTGTATAAATTATACGACGATGGTGTCTTTTGCGCACGCTACTGTAGAGTATTTTCAGACGTACCAGAAGAGGGCGTTATTTTGCGAGAGGTTATCTACAATGCGGACGCTCGTTCACTCTGGCTAGGTGGCGCAAGCCACCGCCCAATTAAAAAGGGTTCAGCCGTATACCCATCCTACTACTCATCGAATGAACACACACACACACACACACACACACACAAATTGCGCTCTGCCAGTGTTTGCTTGTGTGTATCTAAGGATGAGGCCGGCACGAAAATCGCGGAAAACTTGGCACTTTGTGAACTAAGGCTTGTGGGGAACGAGGAAAGACAATAAAGATGGCTGGGGGTCGAACGAGGAGCGTGGCACGAAGAGGCTAGTTCGAACCTTTCCAAGTGGGCAGTCGTAATTTCGTGCTTCGTGTATTGGCGTCCAATGTGTGACCCGAAGAAACTTTCCGAAAGTGAGCTGCCCCTACGGACCAACGCGCTGTTTACAAAGAAACCCTCGCGAGGTGTGGGCAGACACGCAGTTTCCGCACACGTGTGCACTGCGCGTGCGCAGGAACCAGATTCCCGTCAAGTGGAGCGAGTTTGGTCACCTGCCTTGAGCATATATGTATTCGATAGGAGCGCTACGGTAAGCGTTCGGCGAGGGCTCGAATCCAACCACACGCCTCCTGCCTAATGAATGGATGGATGTTAATGCATACCTTTGTAACGGGCAGTAGCTTGCGCCACCTAGCCTATAACATTGGTGATGGCCAAGAAATGACAACCCCCAATGTTGCTTGATGGGGTTTTAAAAGGAGTTTATTGCACACTGCGCGACAAACGTTAGCGCGAACACAACGTCGACGCATTTTTGCGCGAACTAGCTAAAAGGGCGGGCATCAAAATTTACCGATTAGGTTAGTGTCCTGACTGAACACTTTGCAGCACAGTGCTAGTAGGTTTGGTAGCTAATTGACTCTAAGAGAAAAAACAAAACCGGCGATCGGTTTCTCACACATTGTGCGATCAGTTTCAGGGATGGTCGACGGCATTCAGAACATCGTGAGCGGCGCCATCAGCAGCGCGAGCAACCTGGTGAGCGCGCAGATGACCGGCAAGTAAAGGCCGCCATTGGGTGTCCTATAGCCGACTCAGGCCTGCAGATGCGCAAAGCCACGTGGGGGTAAAGGAACCAATGTACATACAAGTTACAAGCAATAAAAGAAAATCCACGAGTATATAAGAGATGGCTTTTCCATGTTAGTCTGGAGTGCACCCCTGAAAAGAATTTTTTTTTTTAACTGTTTGGTTGGGACACACGTGTCAAAATAAACTTTACGCGATAAAAAGAAAAAAAAAAGAAAAGATTGAAGCACGCCTTGAAGAGTTGACACTTGTCTTCCATGTTTTTCGTTACGTGGGTGATTATTTAGTCATTCACCCGATCTCAGTTTCTTCTGATTCTGTAGTTCAAGCCTTCACTTCTTCGTCCTCAGACCTGAATTTCACAAGGGAAGACAGCTCAGGCGATGGTCTCCAGTATCTCGATCTTCGTCTGCATCTTCTTCCGACCGGCATTTGTTGGGCCTTCCAACAACGATCTCAGAAACCTATCCTTCCATTCTGCAGTTCCCATTCTAAACTGGTAAAACATGGAATCATCCGGTCTCTCCTGTCATCTTCTCGCACCAAATCATGTTCTCACTTTGCAAGCGTCAACATTGCAAAACAACAAGAACGTCTCCTCAGAGCAGGTTATCCGCAAGGTCTACTGAGCACCATTCTTGTTCAGTTAATTCTAACCACCCAAAGGCCCCGTGCTCCACGTAGTAAGCCTTCACGCGTTTTCTGCATTCCCTATGTGCACAACTCGGCGCAATTGCAGCGCGCTTCAACGTTTCGGTTGTCTTCTCGTGCAAGTTGCGCCTGAAACAACTGTGCAGGCGCGTGAACAACAACGAATCCTTCAAAAGATGTTCTATCAAACACGCTCATCAGACCGTTGCCTGTGAAGAGGGGGTGGTATACTCCATCCCTCTCTCCTGTGGCGACCGATACATTGGACAGACAGGTCGTTGCCTTAACACGCGCCTACGAGAGCACGTCCTCGAGGTCTCTCGTGCTTCGGACGACACTTTTCACCCAATAGTGGTTCATCAACGCCTCTGTACGAACTGTGAAGCCCGGTTCCAGGACACCTGCACGATTGGGAGACATAAGAACAAGCTCGGGAGAGAGATCATTGAGGCATACAAGATAGCCCATGACGATCACAACATCGCTGCCCCTTCTCTCGCCTTGTCCAGAAATGAGATCAACTACCTGAAACCAGAGCTGGATTAGCCAAAGGGCGCTCTATCTCAATTTGTCAATAGTGTTTTTCTTTTTCTTTCTTTCTTTCTGAATTATTTATCTTCCAGTGTATTGGGTGTAAATTTGTGTTTTTTTTTCCGGGTGTATATAAATATATTAATTTCCGCATCTTCCTCTTTAGTCTCAAACGTTAGGAAGATGGCACTATTGAAGGAGACACCAGTAAATGTGTGTTGCTAGTTGAAAGAACTGTGCTGTCTGTCCTTGTCCTTAAGTGTCTTTATTCTTTCTTTGACAAAACACAGACAGGGAGAAACAGAGACATACACACCGCTGACTATCAACTAAGACTTTATATTTATTTTTCATCACCTCGACCCAAAGATTCACACCTAAAGTAATGCCAATGAATCATCTTAAATCCTTAAATTACACTACTAAATTAAAATACAAAATAAAATTAATTAATTACATTAAATTACTAAATTTGGTCACTAACACCTCCCTGATCCAACCGACATACCACCGCCGACACATATCCCTCTTATTCCCTTTCACGGGGCCGTGCCACACTGCAAAAACTGTTTTTCTTCCTTGCTGACCGGGATGGAGGGCATGCTTACGCAGTCATCGGCGGTTTGCTCAATGGCCAGGGCCTCGAGAATCTCGCGCGCAAAGGCATTTCTGTGTCTGTTAATAATGGAGACGCTGCTAAAGCTGGCCCTGCACCCACACGTGCGGCAATGGGCTGCAAGGTGCCCAGCTCCCGTGCCCTGCACCGACGCCGCGTGCTCCCTGACTCTGTCATTTACGCAGCGTCCCGTCTGCCCAATGTAGCAGCTCCCACATGACATTGGAATCTTGTACACTACACCAGTCTGGCACATGGCGTACTTAGTCCTGTGCGCGGTGTTGCAGGTTTGCTGGCGGTTGTTGGCCCGATTAACTGCGGCACATAGAGTTCCCTCTGTTCGGTGCCGAGCACACCACCCTGACATTTTGTCGTGCAGCGATCTTTTTGAGCCGGTGGGTGACACCGTGGATGTAGGGGACTACTGCGAAGTTCTCTCGTGAAGTCTGTCTACTCGCTCGGTACTTGGTGATCCTCTTGAGAATTTTCTGCATATTGTCTCACATACGGCTCCAAGGAGCACACCTGGGTACCCAGATTCACGAAGCCGGGCCATCTGCTTCTGAAAGCTGGCGTCAGCTTGACGGTGGCATGACTTGCGCAGCGCTGATACGAGTGCCGTGTTGGCAACACTTCGTTTTACGGTTTTCGAATGGCAGGATGCAAATGGAAGAAAACCTTAACTTGAACGAGGTTCGTACCTCCAGCACACATGTCCATCCTTAAACTCAAGTGCGAGGTCCAGGAACTTAATAGACTTGCCCACGGGTAGTTCATGAGTGAAGAGCAGGTCGGGGCAACATTCGTGGAAGGTTTTCATGACCGTGCTCCTGCATCCGTTTTCTTCACTTTCAATGTCTGTGCTGCACAAGATCAGGAAGTCGTCCACGTACCTGAAGATGGCTTTGACTCTAGCATCGTTCAGTGTGGATTGAATTTGCCTACCACATGCCGCCAAGAACAGATCGCATAGATGTAGCGCCACCCTAGAACCAATGCAGATCCCACTTCAGTTTTTGTTTCCTCTTATTCCATTTTGTTCAATTCGTCATTACCGTAGCAAGCCATGTTATTGCCATCTTAAATTTTATGGTGTCCTTCCCAGCATTGGCCTTTTGTGGAGGCTCGTCAACACCCGTCTCAGTGGCTCGGTATCCCCGTAAGGCAAGAGAAGGTCAGCAATGGCGGCTGTAATCTGGCGCGTGTGTAGAGTCTGGCGCTGGGCTGTAGAGGTTCTGCAGCCCAGCAGACAAAGACGGTAGTCGGATCTTCCAATGCTTATCACCCGGGCGAAAAATCCTGAGTCACCGAGCTGTGGACGCATCCGTGGTGTTTGATATTCCACAGAAGACAGCTATACTTCGCATGTTCAGAACACGTTCCACAGCCCAAAGATGGCAGCGCGCAGAAGGCAATCTCGCGTGAGTTGAAACGGGGTGGCGCCAGTGTGCAAAAAGCCCCTAACCGCTTCCGGTTCTAAAATAGACAGTGGATTTCGCAGTATTTGCGAAATCAAATATACACGGTATGTTTTGGTAATCGCCAATTGTAGCACCTGTCAGATTTAATTCCCTCTCGATAAAATAATGATGAGTAAAAAATTAGGAAACGTACGTGAACCGGAGGTGTGCCGGGGCTACCCAATAGATGGCGCCACTGAGTTTGTTGCCAAATAAAAATAAGGGCGAATAGACCATGCAGTGTCCGAAATCCTAGCCTCCGGGAATAAAAATGGGAAATAACAATCTCAAACGCAGGCTCTTGCGAAGAGAGCTAGGGGCTGCGCATAAAACAAGGTGTTTGCTTTTAGCAGCATTCTTGGCATCGGTGTTGTCCCTGGAGCTTCGTGACTATGCATTTCTGGCGTTCTTACACTACGATATGTGCAAAAGTTTATAAAAAAAAAAACGGAATCTTGAAAAAAGCGCAGCCTTTACTGTGTCACGACGTCAGCATAAACAAACATGGCGGCGCCCGTGGAGCAGAGCAGACACTGGTCAATATACGATTGCAAACAGGGCATCTGGCGGCCGCCATGTTCCTCCTCATCTGAGCAAGCACGTGCAGTTGCAGGCCTGTCAAAGCTATCATCACGCGGGAGCTGCACGTGCTTGCACTCATGGGGCACCCTAGTGCCACTAAATAAGCTACGCTTCAGAGTAACGACACTTGGCCATATTGTGGCTTAAAGTCATGGCTGCCAGTTATCTGGAGCTTTATCTGAAATCACAGGAAACGCTTTTCCGCCCTCCACAAATGTTTAAACAGTCCCCGACAGAGAAAAGCAATATTACATGAGCTTCCTAACACCGAATCTAACTCGGAGGAAGTCCCACTTTTGAATCACGACGATCGGCAGTTGCGTCTGCTCTGCACAAGCCCCAATATGGCGGCGCCCACAACAATGCCGGGGAACGGAGTGCCGGTACTCTAAGCGCAGCTCATTTAGTGGCTCTAGGGCACCCGGCACCAGTCTGGACGCCTTGCTTGCAAACGTTCGCTTAAACCCAAGTTCTAAGCAGGGGCGGACGCAGGTATCTCCAGAGGGAAGGGGGGGGTCAGGTGTTGGTCAGCGCATTATATGCTTAACCCCCACCCCCTCCGTTTCCACGCTCTACATTTTTACACATGCAGAATTAAAGAGGAGGGCCAGGACATCTGGACCCCACCCTCTGAATCCGCCATTGGTTCCAAGTAGTGACTAACCTGTGCGAACGACAGGCATGAGGAGGAACATGGTGGCGCCAGATTCACAGCCATCGTCAGCAGCCCGAAGATTCATATCAAAACAACACTCAACAAGCCAGCGTCGCTCGGCAGCCGTAGTCTCAAGACGTCCAAATGTCGAACTGCCGTGACCTCTTGGCGGATAAGAGGCGAGCGGCCCACTGTCGCGGGGCCAGATTCCGTTGGCCATGATAGGAAGTTTCCTATCCTCGATAGACGCAAATCAGCTCCCAAAATAGGCGCCGAGGTAGGCCAACTTGACGCTTTCGTTCATGGTCCCCGCCATGTGCTCGCGTGAGCGAGAAAGCGAGCACTGTTCATGCGTCATGCAAAAGATAATGGTGTTCACTCGCAGACACGATGACAGAATAGACCCTATCAAAAAGTTCATCATACAACAATGGCTGTCAACTTTTTTTTTTGTGTGTGTGTGTGGGGGGGGGGGGGGGGG